TAAAGAATTCTCCTTCCACATGAATTTTCCATCAAGAGTTTATCGATTCTGACGGATCAAAATTTTGAATGAAGACAGTGGATATTTTAATGAAAATTCTGTTTTTTAGAGTGCATTGATGTTCTTTTTATTATTAAACAATTCCCGAAAAAAAAAGGGTGATAGGTTGTTTATTTAATGTAAGTCGCCACTTTTTCTTGTTGACTTGCCATGCTGGGAGTAATTATTTTCAGGTCTACTTTTAAATCCTAAATAATTTAAGGTTATCTTGTGAAAAAAATACCTTACAAAAATAACCGAAATATGAAGCAATTTTTTTTTTTTAGAATTATCGACTTGGTAAATTAGTACTTGCTCTTTCGTAACAAATGAAAATATATTCATTAGAGTGGAGAAAAATATTGCTTCACTTAGTACTTGAGAGAATCAGTTTTTGAATTTCTTGTAGTGATTTTTGAATCGAAAAATTCTATCATAAGATTAATAGAGTGCATTTCCTAATCAGTTTGTGAGCTTTTAATTGAGATATCGAGATGCAGTTGGTGTTATTTTTCTTTTATTGCTATACATTATTTTATGGTTGAATCAAGTAAGTATAATATTCGAATTACAAGTATTCGGTGATCTTTAATATTCACGATCGCAACGCTTGAGTACGCCCTCTAGCAGAGCCTGAAAATATCAGGCATTTATTTATTAAGTTTTCATTTAGTTCTATCATAATCATTGGCGGAGTCGGACACCATTTTCGTAGTAGCAAATACGAAGGAAAATTTCCCTAAGGAAAAGGCAGAAGAACTTGTAGAAACTATCCGGAACATTGGTAAATCGTTTTGAAACAGAACACGCCAAACATTGGAAGAACAATTTCTCAGTAATTTTTACCTTTCTATTATCAACAAACTTGCAACTGATAACTTCCGATTTCGGAATCGTATACTATTACAAATGTGTGTATTACTGTAAAATACAGTTTTTTTTTTTTTGTCTTCATTACAAATTAAAGTGAAGTCAGCATTGCTTACTTCATTCTAATGAATAAATGTGACTTCAGAACCTGTAGAACTGTAATAGTTAAAGAATAGTATATATTTCTGAATCTATATAATTCGGAAAACAACAGTAAAGAATCATCCGAATTACTTGAAATAATATCATTTTTGTTAATTACTAATAAATTTTGATCGTTTTCTTGGTAAGTATTTTTTTAATTTTGAATGATAAATTTCAACTAGAATTCAGCTATTCTGTTTTTAAGTTACATATTGAAACTCATATCGAGATCTTGCAATTATAAAACAGTATTGTGTGGTATGTCATCTTAAAGTATTGAAGGGATAATCTATGTATATATATTATGTGAGAAATGAAGAACAAAGAAAGCTTTCAAATGAAGAACATATCATTTTGGAATTCTCCGGATTTATGAATTAGGTAAGTGTTATGATTTTCATAATAAAAAATTTATTAGTAAATATTTTTTTTTCTAATTTCATGATAGTTCTCTGTAGAATGGTTTTCTACGTCCGATTAATAATAACAGAAAACATGAAAGTTTTTTTTTATTTTTAATTGATGAATTTTTAGAATCGTTTTTTTTTGTAGCCATTCTTTATTTTACGTTTTTTAGTTTATAAATAATGATTTATATTCAAACTTAAAATTTCTTTTATAAAAATTGTTGTCAAAAAAATTTTTGCAAAATTAAATGATATAAAATTATGGGCTTATGTATACTTTTTTGCATATTTTAATGTTTGAAGTAATATGACTCATAAGACTATGGAATCCAAAGTTTAAATAGTCCTTTCATGTAATATCATTAAACGATTATTTATATTTAGTAAAATGATTTTGCACGCATTAGGTTTTAACTCTAATATACATATTTTTTGTCCTGTTTATTTACAAATATTTTTCCGATGTGTTTTGGATGTTCCTNAAAAAAAAAAAAAAAAAAAAAAAAAAAAAAAAAAAAAAAAAAAAAAAAAAAAAAAAAACGAGACAGAGATACCTTTTTGTTTTGCTTGCACGAGAAAGAATATCAAACATTTTTCCCTTTTAGATTTAATAAGCCACAATAAAGAAGGAACGTTACAATGCTACACGCTACATTAAAGAAGCCTCCAGAGCAACAATGACTGTTCATTCAGAAATCGCAAGATTTCGTCACATACAAGAACGCCCCCTATAGTTCGTTGCAATCGCGAATAGTGAATGAAATATCTATTCGAAGTAAAAGCGCAAACATTTAATAATAAAGAAATGCTGCATTTGAGTAGCAGAATTAGAAATTTTAGATCGTGTTGAACCATGATAGCTTTCATATTTGTTCCAACCTTAACATGTATCAAACTTCTTAAACAAGTTATTCTAATACTATGTTTCAATTTGAACGAGAACATGGTTCAATTTAACATCTTATTAAGATTACAGCAAACTTGCGCTGTATTGTAGTTCATATTATGATTATGAATAAATATTATATTTAGTGCAGGTATAAAAATCAATTGTATTTTGTTTAGAACAGAGGTTCCCAAACTTTTTTTTCTAGTGGACCACTTTCAAAGTTTTATTATTTTCGGTAGACCACCTGCTGCTACATTTCTACTGTATTCACAAAACTCCTAAAAAATATCACCCTAAATTGGGGATGTTAAGAAGAAGAAAAAAGTAGCACATTTTCTTGTGTCCTATTTATTAAAATAATACTCGCGGTTATACAAAATTATAAACATTTATTATTACAAACAATCAACAATTGACAAAAAATCAACAATGAACTCTGAAATGTAAATCAACAATAAAAAATACATACTTTTAATGAGACAGATGTACTTGATGAATTGACAGCAAATTATCAATATTTGGCTTCTGTTTTGTAAGAAGTTATCTCAAATCTCCCCATTCTGTGATGTTCAATCTGCTCCTTTTTTTTTTGTTAACACGTTGGTAACAGCACTAAAACTTCTTTCGACAAGATATGATGAGGGAAACGCTATCAAAAATTTTCTAGCAATTTCCCACAGCCTAGGATATTTTTCGGGGATTTCTTCCTGCAGCCAAAATGTTTGATATCCTTTTATAAATTTCGCCTTCAGTTCCTCGTTAGTGCTGAGCTCAAGTAAAACCACATTCGCCTCTTCATCAAATGGGGTTATGATCCATGGTGGTATTTCCATCGACAGAATATCTTCAAATCTATTTTTGAAATCATCATGCAGGGTATTTAAATGCGAGCGGGCAAACGGGCGGCACTTTGCAAGTCTCGACATGTGGTGTACACTTGTACTATTATCTATTGTTCTATTCAATTCTGTGTTTGAACTGAGTCTCGAATATTTTTGAGTTCCTACCTAGCGAATGATGGCCTACTTTGATAGGTAAATCCAAGGCAAAATTTTTGTTCTTTATTATGAAAACCAGAACATTTTTCGTGGACCCCCACTTACAACTTGTGAACCCCTGTTTTCCTTTCAAGTCTAAGTGGACCCCCTGTTGTCTCCTATGGACCCCTGGGGGTCCACCTGAACCACTTTGGGAACCTATGGTTTAGAAGATACATTGCCAAGTCAATTAGTAAAGAGATAGATGCACATACCATTGACCATACTCTATGTAAATACTGAATAAAAAACTACGTAAATACTGATATACGAATCAAAACAATCTAAATTATATAAAAAATAAGTAACAATAAGCATTAGAAGGATTTTATTTATTTTTAATAACATCATCTTGGAGTTCCATACTTATTAAGATTATTGTGTGAAGAAAAGCATAGACAGTATTTTGAATCAAGCATAAAATTTTTAAACTATAAATTAAGAAGAAGCAGCCGGAAAGTCTTACGGATAAGGCATGAAATTTTCAAGAATGAGTATGAAATTAAATGATCTTTCGTCAAAAATGAGTATGAAGATAAATGATCTTTTGTCAAGAATGAGTATGAAATTGAATGATCTTTCGTCAAGAATGAGTAAAAAATTAAATTTGTTTTTAGAAATGGCTAATAATTATTGCCAAGGTTATATTAATCCTTTGATATGCAAGATGTAAAAAATTTAAATAAGTTAGAGACGAGATTTTTTTAATGTTAGCTATTTTATAAAGACAAACATTCCAGTAAACATTAAGAGGTTTCTATTTATGCAAGTTGAAGAAAAATTTCTCGAAATTGATTTTTGCTTAACTGTAGTTAAGAGTCCTTTACCCTCGCCATCTTGAGTTCAAGGTTCAATTTTAAATTTAAGTTTTCTCGATATTTTTTTGTACTTGTTAGATTAGGAGAAATGGCATTCGATAATTTTTAGAACTTCTATGAAGTTTTCCTCAAAACTTTAAAGCAATAAAGATTTAAGATTTTGAGTAAGTCATTTAAAACTGCACGTTTCTCAGTTTTTAGAATATTTTTAAAATCTAATATTTTTGCAGTTTAAATTGATGAAAAGCGATTTGTATGACGCTAAAAATTTCCTTCAAATTTAATTGCATAAATTAAAAATACTTATCAAAATCTACAAACTAATAACAGTTAGCTATTTAAATATCCTTCAAAAATTGTTGATTTCAGAATTGTATTGGCATAATTTTGGGAAAAAAATTAATAGAGAAACAAAAGTACCGTACGCTTTATATCTCAAATTCTGATTAGGTGTAAATATTGTATTTTACATGTATTGAAAGATAGTACCAAATAGAGAGAAAATTTATCATCAGTTTATTAATAAATTAAAAAAAAGGATTAAAAACATATTTAGAATTTTCTCTCCCCGTCTACAATCCTTCCACTGTTGAGTTCGACAGGCAAAGGAAGATCCTCTTATGGAGAAAAAGATATTAGAATGATTATTTACTGACAGGATTAGATAAAATAACAATTTAATTTTTAAATGATTGGAAATAGTTTCAAGTTGGACTGATTTTGCGAGAGTGTACTGCATTACTAAAAATTTTAAAAATTATCAATGGTGCTAGTGATAGTAAAAATACAGACAAAATTACACATATACTTATATTTTTTCACAAAATAACTACATCTACAATCAGATTAACACATAATTTACATAAATTTAAGACAACATTCATTAATCATCAAACTTGTTTTATTGCAATATAACAAGCTATAATATAACAATTTAACAAGCTATATCACGGAACGTAAATAAAAATTTGTACAAAAATGTTTTTATTTATTTATTATTATTTGATCATCAGTGTAAAACCACATAAAATTAAAACAAAGTTTGTTAAATCATGCTATAAATGTTATGTAGTCGCTTCAGGGGCAAGAGTTGTTGCAGCAGAAGTTTTGTCTGAATAAAGAGCATATACATTTACTACATCCTCTGGAAAACAGAAAAAAAATGCAAATAAGTATAAACTACACGTACGTAAGCTACACGGTCTTTGACATTCAGTGTCCACATTTCTTAAAAAATTATTAAACTGATTTTTCTGTTTTTTTTGGGGGTATGTTAAGAATATACGATTACTTGCAATTTTGAATAAAAATTTAAGCGCGAGAAATTTTAGGGAACCAGTAAAAATTTACAAATAAAGCTATAGGTTTATGAAGCAACGAAATAATGATGTAAGAAAACAGAGTTGGATTATAACATGTATACACGTTTTCGGATTTTATAACATACCCTTTTATAACATATAACGGAACAAAAACTCTGATATACCGCTTTTTGCAGTAGCAGTTACAGTAAAACCATTGAAACACTTTAATTAAATAAATATTACAGTAAAAAATTATGGTATTATATTTTACACAACTGGCGATCATACACAAAACTGTTACGGATGATGCGCAGAAAGTACCGGTACTTTATACTGTAATTTGATCTGGAATTTTTTACAGAGTAGTTCATATAGTAGACGCCCGGTGGCTGAGTGGTAGCGCTTCGCGCTGACGTGCCACAGGTCCTGGGTTCGATCCTCGGACCAGGCAAGGTTCACTCAGCCTTTCATCCCTTCAGTGGGTCGATAAATGAGTATCAAGCATGCTTGGGAACTAAACACTGAGGGTTCTGCATTCGGCTGACCACTTAACCGGAACATCTGCTCTTGCACTCCAGAGCCCCAGGTAAAGAAAACTGAGATGGCCCTCTATGGGCTGTCACGCCACTGAGTTTAGCTCATATAATATCTTATATAAGTTTTTTCTTAATAAATGAATTTTTTTGAACTAAAAATCAAAAAGCTTTTTTTAGTTATAATATTTACATAATTATAATAATTATACATAGTTATTATAGTTATATAATAGTTACGATTTCGTTATATAGTTTTTTAATTTTATAAATTTGTAGCTAAACTTATGAAAAAGAAAGAAAGAATTAAAAGAAACGTATGAAAGAGAAAGAAAAGAATTTGAACAACGCTAAAGTTAAAAAAATTGTCATAAATTATTTTTTTGCAAAATTTCAGACAATAAAGGGATATGACAAAATGTCAAAGACTAGATGCTCTAATAAATTTGTATGCAAGTGTTAAAAAAAAGGATCAAAAAGTCATTTTTCACCTTAATAAAAAATGCCCGTCTGAGAATTTCATGCATAATATATCATATAACATTAAAATAATCTAAAAATAATTTCTGTATATTTATATAATTCTTCCGGTATTTGATTCATAAGTTTATTAACATGATTTAAAACCATCAAATTGCATTGATTCCTTACTACACTATGGCTATGGCTATGGACAACTTTTGCTTATAATTTGAGGAGCTTATTTATTCAAAAATAGAATGGAACTAATTAGAGAAATGGTTTGACAAAAAGTCTACTTACCTTTTGGACAACAAGTTCGAAAAACCATACAACACCATGCGTGGAACACGGGAAATGCACAAGAATAACAGGCAAGAGCATCGATTTCTTGTAATAGTAGAAGTAACAGGAAAAGTGTGACACACACTTTGAGAAAGAGATTCGTAAAATACAGTTGCTTCATTTTCTAAAATAGAAAATTATTGATTTTAGTTAATTAAACGTATAAAGTAGAAATAGAAAGAGAGAGAGAGGGCAAAAGACTAATGCTTTAGTTAAGAAACAGTTTGCCTCTTCCCAAGTAATTGATATCTGGAAAATTAAATAAATAAATAAATAATACATCCGTGACATTGAAATGAAAAAAAAAGAAACATTACACTTACCAAATGAATATTTGTTACTGAATTTTGTCTTATGATGCAAAATTAAATTTGTGGAAAACCCCTTATTATTTTGAGTTTTCTCTTAGGTACAAAACTACTTAGAAAATTGGAAATATTTTAAACTTTCAAAATGGGAATTCTTACCTTTGTTTACTAAATTCATACAAATGACTACAAACTTACGAAAAAAAAATTTTTTTTTTAATTTTTTCCATTTGTGCGCAGTAGGATAGAACTATATGAGCACATATTGTGCAATTTTCGAAGATTTTTTAATCAAATGTTAAATTTATAATTTTGTAATTAATTAAAATTGCTCCAAAAGTTTTGTTAAAATTAATTGAATATTTCAAAACTTACAGCTACAGAAAAAAAAACATATGACAGAAAGTATTTATTTTTTTTATTAAAATGTCCGTATCTAATTAAATATTTAAGTTAAGTTTGCGAAATTTTATGAAATTACTTGATTTTATAACCATCGTTTAACAGTCGACCCAATTTTAGGGTTTACGATTACTAATGTTCAGCTCCGTAGCCTTATAATTTTGAACGCAACCCAGAAGACAAGAGAACTCCAGTATTGGGAGAAATTTGGTCTTCGTGGAGGACTTTTAGATGGCATTTGCGATACATGGAGAGGAAAACCACCCAAACCTCCCACGGTTAACCAGACGTCAAGGGGACTCTAACCCATGATCCGTCTACACTGAGGATATTTTACGTCAGCACTGTGGTAGGTGCAAGCCGGATGTGAAATTCGTATCGACAAGCAATCGCTAGAATTCGAGCCCGGTTCACCTCATTGGAAGACGAACGCTCTATCCCCTGAGCCATCACTGCTCCTTAATGGAATTTTTTTTTTTTTTTTTTTTTTTTTTTTTTTTTTTTTTTTATATAACCGTGTTGACCCTGATTTTATGGGTTTACGACTACTAATATTCAACTCCGTAGTCTTGTAATTTTTAACCCAATCCAGAAGACAAGGGAACTCCTGGATCGAGTATTGGGAGACACGCAAATTCCGAATCATAGTTCGCTTCTTCACGCTTTCGATTCACAACAATTCCATAGTTAATCCTCAGCTTTATCCGATCGTTTCTCTATAATTATTTATCGTTTTTTTTTCGTTTTTTGGCAATCTTTTCACGAATTTCCAAACTTCTGTATTTTTAATACGATAATATTGCGACACCTGAAGTTCGAATTTGAGTAATCACTTTTTGAAGCGCGCGCTATTTCGTCGTTATTCCATGTCATTTTCTGATTGTTTTCTTGGCACCTATTTTAGATATTTTTCGTTTTTACGGCATTGGTTAATATTTTTTGACGCGCTCAATTCACGACGATTCCGTCTAAATCCATTTTGTTTTTCGATTTCTTATTTTTGGGAGTTATTAATCGATTTTTTGGCCATTTCAACATGGTTTATGAAATTAGTATTCTTTAACGCGATATTTCAATACACAAATTTCTAATTTGAATCATCACTTTTTGCTTTAAATAACATTTTTCTTTTTGCTTTAAATAATGACTACTCCATTTGATTTAGTATAGATCTTCTCTCAAAATCAATAAACTTGCTTTTAAGTTGATTACGAAAGTAACAAAGAGAGAGACAGAGTGACTGAATGAGAAAGAGAGAGTCAGATATAGATAAATAGACGAATAAGGTGGTGCCATATACAAATCTTAACATTTGTATTCAAATTTTTAAAAATATATAAAATTAATTTTAGAGCGAAAAAGAGCCCATGTGAATAGTTATAATGATTCATTGTTATAATGTTTAATGATTCATTCCTTTAACGAGTAAAATCATTTCTCAACGATTTCTTCTTTTTCTGTTTCAATTTTTTTATTTAATGTTTAGTTGATTATCTTTCCGGTAATCGTTCACTATGTTAGCAAAATATTAACAAATAACAATTAACATTAAGATCAACAAAACTTCTTACATAAAATTATGATTCTTTATTTTCACAAAATGTTCTTTTTTTGTTGAAATTATCTATTTTTAAGAGTAAAGAAATCATTGATGAAAAAGAAACAATCACGGGGCTATTGAGCGGAGTCTCTTAATTATCCAAAAAAAAACATTGTTTGGAAGTATTGTAAACAATTTTAATTTGCAAGCAATCAGTCAAACTAAAACTACATTTTATACCTACATAATACTCATCATGTGTTCTAGTTTTTGATTACAAAAACGCTGAAAGCTTTTTTTTCGGAAAGGTGGATTATTTTCTGATTGTTCTGGTCAAATGCTACGTTTGGAAAAATTTACTTTCCCCGTAAATATTCTCATTGATTAATCTCATTGAACATTCTCAGAATAAAAAAAAATCAGGCTATATTTTACTAAAATATTAAGTACCGGCTACAATTCTTTAGGCGTTGAGGTAATCGGCATTTTCCTACTTCAAATTTAATTAAATTAGATAGAAAATAAATGATTTATATTAAGCAATAATTAAATAAAATTATTATTTAATATGTACTTTCAAAAACAAGATTTCTATATCCTGCTTTGACTTTTTTCCTCCACAATTCGATTTCTTTTTATTTTTTTCTTCCTCTAAATAAAATGAAAATTGCAAATAAAACTGAATGTGTGTGTAAGTTTCGTCAAAAGTTCGAGCTATGAGAGAACGGAAAGAACTTTTCCAACAACATAATATTGCATTACTCAACTATATGTTTAAATGAGTCACATAATTAAAAAAACACAGGTATAATAAATATTTAAAGAAAAAAAAGAATTTCGAATTAATTTTGATTCTCTAAACGTAGACACATATTTTTTAAAGAAATTCTACTTACTTTGTAAAGTTCAAGAAGTATGAAGATTTATTTTAAGTAATTTAATCCCTTCAGAAGCATAAGCATATTCTGCGTCCAAAGCTTAACCAAAATGCACTGATATTCGCTTAAAGTGTGTTGCTTTCAAGGCATTACGGTGATTCAGTGGAAATTATTGTCCCATTGTTGTCTCTTAATAAAACTTAATATCGAAAACGTCATCGATTCATATTATACTTTCCCTACATCTATTTTTAGTAAAATAAGGATAATAAAATGTAATAATTCTTAGCAAATATTTCGATCGGCAGAAAATTTATTGCGTGTGGCAGCATAAAAATTCCAGAACAATGAAAAATTGATCTTGAAAAACGTATTATTGTCCAAGATGTAGCGAAGAGAATTTTATGTAAACATGTAGTAAAACATGTGTTTTTCTTCCGTTTTTTTTATTGCTTTCTGATTCATTTGAGTTCAGTTGCGTATTGTTTTTCTTATATTATTCAGCTTGCTTACTGCATATAGTTAGTGTAAAAGAACATAAGCTATTGTGGAAATACATCTTGGAGATATTTTAAACTAAAATATACGTTTTTCCAATGGCAAGTTTCTACATTATCTTAGAAAATACAACCACTACCAACTCAAGTATTCAAAAGAGATTATCTTAAAATTAAAAGAATAATATAATCTAATTAAAATCTAATGAGGGTGTTGCAGTCTTCATTGTTGTCGATACATTTTTATTATTCGGAAAACAGCATGGTAGGATCCAGTTTTTCCACATTAATTTCCATATTTATTTTTTGGTAGTCATCAGCATAAAATTAATAAAAGTCAAAAAGAAATTGTTTACACGTAAAATACTTTAATATCTCAAATTTAAAGGTATGTGCCTGTAATATTTATTTTGATTATTTACTCTGCTATAATTACTTTTTCGATTTTGATAGTTTTCTAAATTAAGAGTTTATAACCAAAAGAGCAGTTTCTTTTTTATAACATAATTCTATGCTATTACGTTATTAAGCTGTATTTTAGGACGAACTAATTGAGTCGGTGTCCAAAATTTTACAATGATTATTTTTCGGAGTAAATTACATTAATATGTTATTATAAATTACTGTAAAGGAAATTCGTTAAATAATAAAGATTCGATCAGCTTCATGCACTATGCGATGCGTTACAAACTGTATTTAATATATCAGCCTGTTACGGTAAGCGAAAATATTAACTTACGTTTTGTGAAATCACCAAATTTCTAATAACAATATAGTTTTAATTTTAAACGTTTCTTTTTAAATGTGATTTCTTATTTCCAATGAGGTGAACCGGGTTCGAAGCCCTGCATCATCTGGTCGATACGAATTCCGCATCCGGCTTGCACCGACCACAGTACTGACGTAAAATATCCTCAGTGGTAGACGGATCATGGGTTAAAGTCTCCTTGCCGTCAGGCTAAACGTGGGCGGTTTTCCTCGCGTGGACGGTTTCATGTAACGCAAATGCAGGTTAGTTCCCTCAAAAAGTCCTCCACGAAGACAAATTTCTCCCAATACTTGATCCAGGGGCCGGGATAGCCTGGTGGGTAGGGCGCTGGGCCCATATCCAAGAGGTCGTGGGTTCGATCCTCGCCGGCCGAAGACTCCCCGTGTAGTAAATGGTGACTGATGCACGTTAAATCTGTCGA